GAGCATCGAATCGTCCGCTCGAATTCGACGCCCGTCTATCGATCCCTCCTCCGCGGTCGAACAGCAACTTAGGTGTTCCTCAAGGTTCATCAGTGGTGACATTTTATACAAGCACTAGTTTTTTTTTGTTTTGTTCTTCTCGCTGATCGCTGCATTACATATCGAATTTCGCTCCTCTTTGTGTTCTGTGACGGTTCCCTGAAGTATTCTCCACGTGCATCGAGAGACAGTTGATTGGAGCGCGGTAAGCGCGCGGCACAGGTGTATAGCGAATTCTCCGGGAGCCAATAAACCCGCGACAGCCGTCAGGGGTGCAGTGAATCTCCGGTCTAGGCGCGTTATCCCGCAGGTGCTCCGGAGAACGCGTGCGCCGCCGCCGCCGCCTTCCGACTGCGGCGTCCCGCCGCTCCGGCGCGTGCTCCAGTCCGACCCCCCCACGGGAGCCGTCGACGCAGTCCGCTCGGCGCCGACGCGCACGTGCGGGCCGCCTCGACGGGGCGCGCCGAAGACGTCAGTTTTTGTGCTGTTCGTGTCGGTGGCTGGTGTGCGCCTGGGGGCTCTCCGCGCGCGAAGAGCGTCCGCGGTGGTTGTGGTGCTCATTGTTTCTTCGTTGGAGCTCGTACTCTACGTGACTGCGGAAGTGAATAGTGGACTGACAACTCGCGGACGCCCGTATACAGTAATAGACGGGTTGCAATTGTGCGCTATATAAAAGAGTGGTGATAGTTGAAGTTGAAACTGTGAAGGCGTATAAGGAGCGCATTGCCGTCGTATTGTGAACAGAAGACAGTTACAGTTGCATAGTGTCAGTGAGCAGAGATTGAGTTTGAATAGGGGAGATACGCCTTGTGTGCGTTCGAAGAGGCCGTGTGCGCTTGTGTGTGAGGAAGTCGCCGGGACCAGAAGCGGAAGGCAGCCGCCGCTTGTTCTCTCGCTCCCCGTCCGCCTCCGCCTCCCCCGCAGCCGCCATGTACCGCATCCGGCTGTACATCGTGCCAGAGCACGAGGAGATGCCGGAGGTGGGCGCGCTGGACGACGGCGCCAAGGACCCGTCCGAGGGCAAGACGGCGCCGGCGAGCGGGCTGTGGTGGAGCGGGCGCGCGCAGTCGTC